GCCTGGTCATGCTGGGAGAGATGCGGAGAGGGACCAGCAGCGTGAGCTGGTGGATGGCAGGTCCCCTCCTGAGGAGACTGGGCTATCTGACCTACGGGCTGGGGGTCGCTCAGCCTTGGCTGATGCCAAGGCCCACAGACCTCTGGAAAGCACCTTGCGGATAAATTCCAGGTGGGATGATGTGGGCACGTGGTGACATGGCTCCCGAGCTTCCACCGCACTGTGGGGTCAACCAGCTGCACCCCCTCGGGGCCCCGGCAGACGAGGAGGGGGCCGGGCTGTGCCGGGTCAGGAGGGCGCTCCCAGAGCTGGCACTGGTGGTGACGGGGCCCCCGCGCCATTGGCAGGGCGAGGGGTTGCGCGTGGGCTCCCCCGTCGGCAGCCGAGCTCGCCGGTGCCTCTGCCCGTGGCCGGGCGCCCGAAGCGAAGTGAACAGACGGGAGCGGGTGGGCGGGCAGGGATGATACCAGCGTTAATCATTTCCGTGCCACTGTACATGAAAGCGGCAGCGCACAGCCTGCGCCGCTCCGCTGCCAAGCGCCGAGCACGGCGGCTCTGCGCAGAACCTGCCCGTTCAGCGTGGCCAGCCCGCCCCGGCTCCAACGGCCCAGAGCGTGTCCCCTCCACGTCCCCACGGCTCCGGGGAGAGGGACGAGAGGCGCCAGCTCTGGGAGGGGACGCGCGCAGCCACGCTCCCACCTCCAGCCTCCCCGTGCACACCCATCCCTGCAGCCCCTGGCTGCAGCGGGGCAGAACCCCCCCAGGCCGGCCAGCAGCCAAGGGGTTAAAGGGCCTTGTTATTCCTTTCATACCTGGGCTCCACTTATTTGCAGACCGAATTTCCCAGAAGCCGGGGCTTTTCACTGCCGGATCTGCTGTAGAACCACGTTGTTATAGATTGCAAGTTCCTTAAAGGTCAGATAACACAATACAATTGAATCATATTAGTGAGCATAGCGCCTTGGTATTTTACTAAGGAAACCCATAAAGCAGATTGTTTGTTGCAGGGAAACACACGTCATATAATGAAGTCGGTGTAATTGTCTCCAGAAACAAACAATCAGTTTATGAGAAAAAACCTCCCGTAATTGTGGGTCCTCGGTGCGGCCGCGTCGGGGCCAGGCGCTGGCAGGGTATCGAGTGCAGATATTGCA